AAAAAGGCATTTGAATAGTATTTAAAATTTGCTGAAGGCAGTAATTTTAGAGGATATTTTTTTATAATATAGTTCTATATTCTTGAATCAAATTATTATTCATAGGGGGTTTCAGCGAGAATCTGATTTCAATTAAAATAAATTATTTACAATCAATTTTCGAATACTTTTATGTGATCACTTTTATTATCAATTACATTTTAACTACATATAATAACTATGATGCGCATAGACAAAAAAAGGTTTATTTTATAAAACAAGAGTCTCTACATTAGAGATATGCCTCGCATGAGATATATTCCACATATCACAGGACTTTATGCGAAGTGTGAGATGACCTTATACAAAAAAACATTTAGAGTTCAGCGGATTATAAGTATTAGTGATAGTTCTAATCTTTTATTTATTTATTTAAAAAAATATTATTATAAACATATATAGCATAAAGTACTTTAATTATTTTTACTAAAAGCTTTTACATTTGATAAATCATTGGTCGCTGAGATTTTCTTAATTAAAACTTTATACCACGCTAGATACAAGATCATATGATGTAATTCGCATATTAATTATATCCCCTTTTATTGCAATGTTGGAATTTTGTTATTAAAATGGTATATGCATTTCTAAAGATTAAAAAAAAGCTATGTTGAAAGCGAAGATCCTAATAGATAATTTAATATCAAAATTTATTATCAAAATAGCACAGCTACGTAGGTATTTCAAAAGATAGGATAAGATTTTAATATTCTAATAGAAAATTTGATACTAGAATTTGCTATCAAAATGTCATAAGCATTTCTAAAGGCGGTGTTGAAAACTTACTGAAAGCTATACTAATAACGACAATACTGTATCTATACTTGCCAGCTAAATTAAAAATTTCAGAAATCCCTCCCAAATCCTAAATATAATAAAATCGTCTCAAATCCCTCTTAAATCCTAAACATAATAAAATCGTCCCAAATCCCATGAGTTTTGCTGGTAAGTATAGCTATGCTCCTAATATTAGATGATATTTTACTACTAAACTGATAATGACTTATTATGATAATGTTACCTGTAGGAAATACTCATATAAAAAACCTAGAAAAAAAGGCTATTAGTATAAAAACAAGTTAAAATAGATAATAATAATAATAAAACAAAAAACATATAACTTATCTTCATTGCTCCATATCCTATTTTGACATTTGTATTTACCTAAAAAAAAGAGAATGGTGCAATTCTAGTTCACTAAAGTCCCATCGTGCGATCATATTGAAAGTGATATAATGATAAAACAAAAACCTATCCGAATTTAAGCTCTACAATACAAAAAAAGAAAATTATTATTTCGTTTAGATGGCCTAGAAAAAGAAAGCTATGTACTTACCAGACACACTTTATGACCTTCATCCACTTAGAAGTGAAGGGCAATATCACAAATACGTATAGTAATGTACTGGGCCTAGCTCTAATGCATGACAGTGACTATTGAAATCACTGTATATGAAGTAAATACGAAGGAAAAATAAGAAGTAATACAGGAACAAAACTTACACAGAGAAATGCTCATACTCTATTTTGACAATCTGAATAAAGAAAGCTTGATAATTTTAGTATCAATAAAACTAGCAAAAGAAAAGAAATATATACTTCTTGGAAACATCCAAGCCATACTCTAAGTTCCTACTTGCTTAAATTTCTGTTTAGAAGCAAAAAAAAAAAGCGTTAGTAATCATACTACATAGCAAAATTACAAAAGGTATCTACTAATTCAAGCAAGTTTACACTTCAATTTCTGTCATTCGATTCTTTAAATCCTATAGTTAAAATATCTACGAAGAAAAAAAGTAAAGATTAATATAGAACTGGAAAAGGAACTTGTTTGAATTACTTACAAAAAAAAAAAAAAAGACTAGGCTACCCGAGAGTAGCTCCGTAGTGTTCATTAGTTCCTGATCGTAAACTGCTAGTTGCAAGTTAAAGCAAGAATGTGTAGATCTAGACAAAAAGAGTGTTAGATAGATATTTTCAAAAGAATAAAATAAGGTACTCAGTATGTGCATGAAAATACTAGGCGTGATATATGTATTTATGTATGGTTAAAAATTACAAATTACAATCACGAGATTCGCTTTGTTTTAAAGTCAAAATTCCATATTTTATTCTTTTTTTTGCCATTAATAAAAGTTGTAAAGTATAATCAGTTCTTTAATTTTATTCTAATAAATATATAGTTAAAATCAATAATTAAAATTTTGACAAAGCAACTTTCTATATAAAATTTTAATTCTAATAAATTAAAAAAATATATATATTTTAAACTATATTAATCTTAGTTTTTTAATAGTAATAAAACAAAATTAATAAATTTGAATATATTTATAACATTCTATTTAAAAAATAAAAAAAATTTATTATAAATTAATAATTAGTTTAAAGAATTAGATGAGACAAAAAAAATTCGAAATAACGCAGGCAAATTTGCCTGCGATGATCTACAAATTAAAGGATAAATAAAAGTTTATTAGATAATACTTCTTCTCTTTCAGATAATCTGTTCAACCAACTTTGAATATAAGAATAGCTTTTTAAGCAGATGAGATGATTGTTAATATTAATTATAGTCTTTGATCTTGTGATAGAATACTTTATAGCTGATACTACAAGATTTATTTCTGATATATATTTTCTGTATTTGGACTTATATATTAAATTAATAGCTATCGCTCTTTTATATATTTTTTTAGTGTTTAAAGAATCTGTGTCTTAGAATTATTATTAGTTAATGTTTTAATAAACTTTATAATAACTTGGTTATTTTTACTTAGCTATGTTTATAGTACATAATTCAATAGACTTTCTAAAAAAAACTTATTATTATTCCTTATTAAAGACTTAACATCTTCATACAAAGATTCTTGTTCAAGTTGCATGATAATTTCAATTTCTTGTATACACTTATTCTAATTACAATAATAAGAATTCTATTGTCTATTAAGATTCTCATTTTCTTTACATTTTTCTTAGTATAGTTGTCTCAATTGAAATATCTCTTCGCAATACATATTTATTTACTTTTTTAACTCTGAAATCTCTAGTTTTTGGTTTTCTATTTGTTGCTTTAATTCTGAAACCTTGTTAGTTAAATACACTATGTACAAATTATTTTTTTCATTTTCTACTCTAATTTCATTTAGTTATACTTCTGCTTTTTCAAACTTAACTACTAGATATAACTCCTTACTTGTAATTATTCCTCCAGAGGTAGAACTAGAAATAATTATCTCTTCAGAAATAGAACTAGTATTAACTTGAGATCTTTTGCTTTTATGATTAGAAATAGAGTTACTTAAAAATTAATTGTAAAAATAATTAGCTAATACAACTTAATTATAATTCATTTCACAAATAGAATAAGAATTTAAAAAGAGATAAAGATTAGCAAGTTCTAGTATAAAATCATAATATAACATAAGCTACTTAGCTGTTTTCTGAGTACTGGCATGTTACCAATATTGCAATTTCTTTATCTCACAAGACTTTAACTCAAGATCAGAGTAGTTAATAACTAGTTTAGCAAATATGTATAAAAGATCTTTAGCTCTTAGTCTTTGTTAGACTAGTGAAAGATATGATATAAACTAATTTGATTATAAAAAAAATTTGTTTAACAAATATTCAGAAATTATTTAATTGTATATTTATATTTTGTTCAAAGGTTTGTTTAAGTTTTTGTTCAGAAAGATATTTGAAATAGAGTCGATTTTCTGAACAATTTTTTGAACAAATTTTCAAACAATAATTATTTATTTATGTACAAAGTTTATTGCATATTTTATTAAATTTTGTTAAAAAATTATACTAGAATTATTCAAGTTTTATTATAAATTCAAAATATAACAACAAAATTATATTAAATAAATATTCAAATTTTATTCTAAAATAATATATAGTTATTCTGTTTAATGTATTTTATTGCAATCACAAAATAATAATTTTATTCAAATTTTGTTTTGATTTAATTAATGAAACATATTAAATATATATAAACTATATACTATTATTGTAATAACTTAATATTAACCCAAACTATGAATTTTATAAAGCTGCTATTATACTTGTAGTTTAGTAACTTTTAGACTTCATTACTAAATAATTATTATTTTTGAATATTTAATTATTCTACATATACTATGCTAATTTTTTTTTTCTTTTTTTTATTTTTTTTTTATTTTTAAGGTGGCTTACATTGCCGGGCGATTTTTATTAGTTTGATGTATGAGATTACACATAGGCAATCCCTACAGTTTGTAATTACATGAAGAGTGTAC